ACGGAAGTCAAACGTCATAACTCGAGTCATTGAACCGTTACCATCCGTATCCTTATTCCAAGTGTGTAGCATGCTTATGAGAGCATATGTCGTACAACTATCCGGCACCGTCCCAAATTGTTTACTATCGATCAATTTCATCACTGCTGGCTGGGACCTTGCCCCATTCGGAATGGCAATCTTGGCTGAGTTTTACCCTCTGTTCTCGGTCAGTCAGAAAGTCTAAGATCCAAAGCATGACAGACCTCGGTATGTTATACTTTGTTAACTTCTCCGATAAAATATTGTGGTCTATTAAATCAAATGCTTTACGGAAGTCAAACGTTATAACTCGAGTTGTTGAACCGTTACCATCCGTATCCTTATTCCAAGTGTGTAGCATGCTTATAAGAGCATATGTCGTACAACTATCCGGCACCGTCCCAAATTGTTTACTATCGATCAATTTCATCACTGCTAGCTTCACATAAATCACTAATTACAACAAATTCTTCTGCGAGTTTCGATAGAATAGGTGTAAGTGAAATAGGGCGTAACTAACGATTGATATCCTGGATGGGCTTTTCTTTCGGTATTGGAATTACGTCCGCCTTCTCCCAAACTGGCGGTGGGGCACATTCCCGATATGAACAGTTCGAAATAGCCGCTATCGGGCCAGCTAATAGATCTGCGTTTTCTTTTAGGAGCCACGACGGCATGCCCTCCGGACCATGAGCTTTTTTGGGATTGAAGGTTTTGAAAAACAGCATTCGATGTTACAGTAATTACTGTATCACTTTGTGCAGGCAGGATAAAATGTTGACGACGTACTGAAGATAACGGCGCATATCTGGCCATGGGGGCCAAAAAGGCATTAATCTCGTTGCCTAAATCTCTTTTGTCTAAGCTAGAAGGGTCCTTTCCTGGTCTCAAAGCTTTCACAATTTCATCTGATGTTCCGCCGATTACATTCATTCCACTAAGCTTTTTAACCTTTTTCCACCATGCTGATGGTTTACATTGTTTTAAATGGTGAACGCTATTTTCATAATATTTTGCCCGACATTTTTTCCTTTGGCGGTTGATTTGATTCCTCAGCCTTCTAAATTCTGTAGTACTTTTCTTGTTAAGGGCTTTTTGTCGTTTTCTTATAAGACCTTTCAATATATGTTGTATTCATCCATGGAGGTTCATTTAATCTGACAGTTTTATAACGTAGCGGAATAATTGAATCCAACCCATTGTTAATTATTGTTTGAAATAAGGATGTTTTTTCTTAACATGAGTGGCCTGTGTTAAGCAAGGTGGGAATGTCTACCATCTCTATATATTTCCTTACAGCAAAGCGGGAACTAGGTCTCAAGTCTCTCACTTTTACTGATGCTGTTGATGTTCCTTGAACTTGTGATCTTTTAATTGGTCTACTCTCAATGGTCACGTGATCGGATAACCCAAACGGGGCACATTTGGTAGGTTTGTCGTAATAAGTGCTAAGGTTTGTTAGGACTATATCGAGCGTATTATTCCTACGTGTGGGGATGTTTACGAGTTGTTTCAGATTAAAACACGATCTTAGTCTCGACACGTTTAACTTTTTAAAGTCACCAACGATAATAAGGCCACAGTTGGGGAAACGCGACTCTAATAGTAACAAACAATTTGAAAGATATTCCAACATGTCTGAATTGTCTGTGCTGGGAGGATGGTATACTGTGCCAACTATCAGGTTAGTTATTCCTCTGGGTAGTATATTGAGTCGGATGTTGATCCACAGTATTTCAAATGAACTGATATAGAGTTCATCAAGCACTGTAAAAGCTATGGAATTTTTAATATAAACACAAACACCACCATGGGTGCCTTCGATCCTGTATCTACGAATTAGGTTATATCCTTGAATAACATATCCATGTATATAACATTATCGTGAATGTGACTCTGTAGCCAAGTATTTACCAGACTGACAAATTCATAATTACCACAGCGTATTACTTCACGTACTTCGTCTATTTTTGGAGACAGTGACATCACATTTGATAGCAGAAACGAGAGGACATATTATTATTCTGTCTCGGATCCCTTAGGTTTATTGGTCGAAAGGTCAATAGAAATGCAGTTAGCGGGGTTATGTCCTTTAATCTCATGTGCATAGTTTGATTGATCTGTACTATTCAATACATCCGGGGAGGCCAGGTAGGGACATTTATTAATGAGTGGGGGGATCACAAATTTGGGGGCAGGACATAAAAAAGAAACCTTGCGTCTTGTCCAATGCTTGGTTGACAAAGGGGAAAGGGTGAGTAGGTGGGGACATATCGGGACATATTTCAATATGTAGAAAGTCACAACTTGTTCTTTTCAGACAAAAACCCCTTTTCTTCCAAAAACGGACACGGCACTTTTGGGCGACTCATTTTTTTCTCTGCCAGTGTTTTGGTGAGAATAATCACATTTGCTTGCTTTCATACACTAGCCCCTTCCAAACAAATATGGGCACGGGATCGAGATTTTTCGAGTATGCTGGAATAATTCCTTAGCCGTTTTATTATTTATAGTCAATTTTCCTATTTCATGTAATTGTTCTCCGCGGCAGGATGATGATTTCTTAACAGATAAGTTGATTACATTAGCCGACTCATTGATGTTATTTTCGTGATACTGACTACTAGTACAAGCGGAAGGTTCGTCTTCTTTGTTAATTACGCTAGCGGGATTGAGGGCTTTGTTCTCAACATCACTCAGTTGCGGTTCATCTAAAAGAATTAGTGAATCGCCTGATGCGCAGTCTTTGTTCTCATAGAATTGATTGTTTACAATAGAGGGTGATTTACAAACGTTATTAGCAAAGCTAATTTTATTATTGTTATTATTATTATTATTATTATTATTATCTACATTTTACTCGGTTTTGCACCGGTTACGCCTGGCCTTATGATACTTCCCGTAGCATATTGATGGCAGGTTACGAGTCCAGGACCTTCCTCAGGATCCTTGCTGTTCCAAGCAGTCCGATCTTTTTAAGATCCCCTGCGTTACTGCCTATTTTCAACTTGTCCAAGTTATTTTGTATATTGTTGGTCATCGTTCCCAAGGCGCCTATGATGACTGGCAGTATAAATATATATACCTCGGTCACTTCCCCTTTCTATACCTTTGATAACTCATATTTAAGGTCTGTGTATTTTTCTATCTTTGTTCTTTCCCTCTCCTTTACTCTTGTATCAAATGGGCAGCCTACGTCCACTATATGGGTGGTCTTCTCCTTCTTGTTCAATATGACTAGATCTGGTTTGTTGTAATCTAGCTTCTTTTCAGTCTGGATGGTGAAATCCCATAAAAATTTTATTTCATCCAATACTCTGCTTTCCTTGTCAATGTGGTGGTTATAGCTTTTTTCCGCATACTCAAATCCATACTTCTTACATAGGTCTCTGTGTATTGCAGCAACAATCTTTTCATGTCTCACATTCTTATAATCCTTTTGAGCAAGAGGAGTGCATTCCGAAACAATATGTGAGATGGTTTCATCTGCGAGTCCACAAATCCTGCATGTTGGTGAAATTTCGAACTCTTTATCAATATGGTGTCACATCCATTTGGTTCTGAGGGCTTGGTTTTGAGCTGCTAGGATCATTCCTTCCGTTTCCTATTTTAGCGTTCCCTCCTTTAACCATTGCCATGTTGCTTCCTCGTCTCTTATCTCCTTTGTTCCTTTCCAAAATACAGGAAGTATCTTCTTTTCAAGGAAACTTTCTTTTCTTCTGTTTATGATAGTTTTCTTCCTTTCTTTTGGGCCTTCTTCTTCCTTGAAAATGTTTTCTATCTTGACCTCCTTTAAGAAATCTTCATCTGTCTTGGTGAGGTAGTATCCTAGGCTGAATTTCCTCTTCCTCCTTCAGCCCTCTTCCAATATAGCCTGTCAACATCATCTCTTGGGTGGAACATTTATAAATAGTGACCATCTTCCTTGTCTTTCTGTCCATTTCCTTTAGTTCTTCTTTTGTCCAATCAATTAACACTGCTCCATACCTTATGATTGATACAGCCCGTGAATTGATTGCCTTGTTGATATTTCCTGCATTCAATTTGGACTTGAGGATCTTTTTCATTCTTCTGATGATATTTCCTGCATTCAATTTGGACTTGAGGATCTTTTTCTTTCTTCTATTATTATTATTATTATTATTATTATTATTATTATTATTATTCTGCCTGTCCGGTTTCGGCAGATGAAGGTCGATACACTTGGCGACATGACTCAATCTTTACACTTTGCTTGACTATGTATCTCAACTAAGGAAATACGGATTTCGAATCTATGCTGATCTAGACAATTTTGACAATCCTAACGAATTCTTCCATTCATTCCGCCCAGACAATGTACTAATAAAAGATGACAGAATCTTCATTTTGGAATTGACGTGTTGCTTTGAAACAAATTCTGAAAAGAGCAGCAACCTAAAGATCAGCAAATATAGGGATATTCAAAATGATTGCAAGAAAAGGTTTCGACACTGGAGAAAGATTTTCGTTGAATTTACAACACTTGGATTAGTAACAAAACATATAGATGACTTATACAGTGTCTTTAAAAATACAAACATTAATTATAAGAGAATGATTGAAAAGTGTATGGAAGTAGCTATGCGTGCCTCATTTTATATATATGTACGTCGTAACAAACAATGGACATCTCCGCCTATCTTAAAGTTTTATTAATCCTAAGTATCTACTACTATAGCGATGTCTGTAATCTCTGTGGACTGCCCTATGTTTACATTGGAGAGAAACACATAAGTTAGTTTTATCAGGTTATATATACTATCAAATTTATATGTATTTTAATGTATAGGATTACAATAAAGTTTCCATTATTATTATTATTATTATTATTATTATTATTATGATCTCGAGGGAGCTCCTGCAGATCATTAACGTTTTAACGATTTTAATCGGTGCAAAGATTTATTTTGATTATTTCTATGTGTCTATCGTTCGTACGTTTACTACACTGATAAAGCATGAAAACTTTAATATTTTGGTTCTTCTTGCTATTTGTCTGTTCCTACTGTAATCGGGATTTTAAGTCTCTTGGCCGACATCAATGGCGCTGTAAAGAACGGCTTCGTGAGAATGTGAACGAAAGGAACGAAGGCCCAACACTTGTCACAAACAATCACGATTTGACTCAAAGTAATGCTGAGATGGATGATGCTGTGTTGAGAAACCAAGGTCGTATTTCAAACGTCGACTATGTTAAATGTTGTTGCGGCAAGAAATGTAAAGGTTTGCGAGGCTTGAAGGGTCATCAAAGATCATGTCGCTTCATCAAAGGTATGTGCTCTGATTTGCTATTGCCACATGAAGGAGAAATCACAAACGAACACGATCAAATAAGTGATGTTGACGAAGATATATTTAATGGCACGCCTATTTTAAAGCCGGGCGTTAAACTTCCAAAAACTGAACATGAATGGAAGGAGGAGGATCTTTATTTTAGAGCCGAGCTGCCTATATTCGAGGTTAGGGAATGTTCGGTGAACGATTGTGTTGACAAAATGACGAATTTGGTATATGATTACTTTGTAGAAAATTTCGGTACG